GTTAAGTATCCCCAAAGGTTCTTTATGGATGCTCATGGATTTGGGGTTTTGAGGTGCATCACAGAAAACTTGAACGCCGTAAAGTGGTAAAATTGTATAAAAAGCGTCAACTGAAATGCATTACGGTAACAATAACCATGATGGGTTACTGCGACAAGACAATGATCCGAAACATAGAAGCAGACTCTGTACTCAATGGAAACAAGAAAACCCCATTGTTACTTTAGATTGGCCATGACAGTCACGCCAGTCCAATAGAGCATGTTTGGGCTTTAATGAAGGCAAGATCAAGAAAACATTTAATTTCAACAGAAGATTTAATTCGGTTACTTCAACAAATCTGGTGGTCGCTTCTTCTATATCTTCCCTAATAAGCGCTACCTACACTTTGGAAAGCTAAAACGTTATTGTTTGAACGCAATTTACAAGAAATCGCTTGAAAACATATACATATTTTACTTAGTATTTTAGAGATTTAATTTAATATGCTATTAATACTTTTTATTCAATAATTTTGTAATTGTATTGTCAAAAGTGCATGTGTTTTCAATACCTATTATCTGCTTAATTGGTATGATGTTTTTACTGCCAATTGTTTGTGGTTTCGATTAAATCTATTTATTTTTGTTGATGTTAAGTATCAGGTTTGTTAGTTTGGCAATTTACACAACTATTATTTTCAAATTTGTGGTTTTTCTTCATTAAAAGCTTAATGCTCTTTCAACATAATTAATTTTTAATTGCATCACTCTTTGAACATTTTTTCTTGATATAGTATATACATTTAAATTGTGCTCGTTTTTTACATAAAAAAGCTGTCATTTGAACAATTGGTTGGCGTGTGTGTGATATTGACTTGAAGTTGACATTTGATTGGCAACACAAATTAATGAATAAAAGGACTACAATTGTTTCATCCAATAATACAACCAGCAAGTTATTTTCTGGGTGGACGTATATTGTAGTTATAGAGACTATTACGTTTTCGCATCCAATGCCATATTTCTGTCAAAATTGTTTTCCATAAACATCCGATAAACATTCCGAGGTGATTTAGGTGTAAAAGTCATTTAATATGTGTATTCATAAAATTGGGTTGTATTTAAGAAAATTTTCTCTTTTAATATCAATTTAATAATCTTAACAGCCAAAATATGTGGAATACTTAGTATTTTAGAGATTTAATAAATGCCAGTTGGTAACGCGTATGATTTTTACACCTTGACCAGGATATATTAAGTATGTTATGAAGTTTGTAACACCCAGAAGAAACGTCGGAGACGAGTTGAGTCGATTTAGCCATGCCCGTCTGTATATACGGAAACTACTCCCTCAGTTTTTGAAATAAATACTATATATAGATATAGTATGTGTAAGTAACAGATGGACTATTTTTACTCGTTTTTAGTACTGATTAATTTAGCGAGTGTTATGCTCCAAAATGCCAATGTATAGCTAAATATACGAATACTTTAACATTAGACAAATGTATTTATACAAAGTGTTATTACTGTTTTCGCATTTTCAAAAGCTTCCATTTTGAACAAATACAATATATCCCTTACAACAACTGGATTCGGTGCATTCTGTTTGTAGGCCAGCTATATGCTATAGTAGTCCGATATCGGCGGTTCAACATATGAACAGGTTCTTGGGGAGAAAAGGAGGTGCTAAATTTCAGATTGATATCTCAAAAAGTGAGAGACTAGTTCGCGTATATACAGACAGACGGACGGATATGCTTTACTCAACTCAGCTCGCCACGCTGATCATTTATATATGCATTTTATTTGGTCTCCGACTGGGTGTTACAAACTCCTTGGCAAACTTTGTATATTCTGTTCAGGGTATAATTAAAACTTCACAATTTTTAAATAAAAATCGGAATTTGGCTGGTGGCTTTTAACAAGAATAGCGAGGATTAATTAGTTTTGTATTTCTACTCTTCGCATAATCTAATTCCAATTCTCTTCATTTGCCTTTGAAAAACAGAACTAGAAGTATCGATTTCATTGTTTTGCTCTGTTAGTAAGGAAATTAGTAATTACAAGCACGAAATTAAAAAATACTGCAACACAATCAGACTACCAATACGGGCTAGCTGTCAAATGTCAAATCTTTTAGATTGCTCATTACATGAAGTGCGCTACCGTGATGTTGCGAAACGAATTATACAATCAATAGATAATTAGTATTCAATTGAAATGTGGTTGATGTTAATGCTTTGGAAATTGCGTATTATGATATTCTTGACGCTATACGGGGGAATTAATTGTAGATACAATGCATCTGGCATATGAGATAGAAATCGACGTATTTAATTCAACTGTAATCGGGAGAACTGAAACTAAGCTAATCGTTACAAGAGATATATGTAAATGTGTCACTTTTATATAGACCACACAAAATCATTGATCTCAAAATAACAATTGATCAGTGAAGTCAGTGGCCTGTCCTTGTGAAGTATTATTGAGAGTGGTGTTTTGAAAATACCATGCACTTCAATATGTTAATAAGCATTAAATTAGATAAGCGGTATTTAAATACCTATATAAATATATTTAAAAACACGTAAAAGTGTAGCGATTTTAACCTTTTGAATGTGGTGAAATCAACAAACAGACTTATAAAAGCTATAGATACAAGTTGAGTATCAAAACGAGGTATTCCAGTCAAAAACTTACGTAACTGCTTCTTCCTCGCCGCCAACATGAAGATGCTTCTGACAGCAGCGATTAGGAATTAATTCATGACGAGTTTGAAAAAACTAGATAAGGGATCGCTATGTTCGAAACTTCACCTGGTAACAAAAGGTTTGTAGAGGTCCGGTTCTACCCTGATGCCGGATGTCGATTTCATATGCTCGGATTTTTTTCAGGAATTGGCGCAGTGTCCAGAGCCTCACTGACAAGGTCCAATCAGTTTGTTGACAAGTGGTTTCAATCTTACACACAATAAGCTTGACAGGACCTTGTATGCTTCCATGTTGACAACATATCTCCGGCGGCTTTGAACATTTCTGTGACTGCTTAGATAAATTACGCTTCAATTCAAATTCTGGTTTCTAATATTGTTGGGTGTATGCATTAACTCGTGCGGTTTTCTAAGACAGGGCTCTACTAGTACTATTTCGCGTCGTGTTCATCTGTGGCTATATTTATTTCAAAGGTACTGCCATTTCGCGTCGTTTACAGTACAAGTCATTTGTTTTAGCGTGAACAACAATTTCATTCATTTGAAAATGTCGAAATTTGTACCAGATAAAGTGTTTTTGCGGGGAGTTCTTCTTCATTACTTTAACATGAAGAAAAGTGCTACCGAAAGCCTTCGTATTTTACCGGACGTCTATGGAGACCATGCTTTAGCCGAACGATCGTACCAAAAGTGGTTTGCATGGTTTAAAAGTGGCAATTTCGACTTAGACGACGGAGAACGACCCGGACAGCCAAAAAAATTTCAAAAAGCAGAATTGGAGACATTGCTTGACGCAGATGCATGCCACACGCAAGAAGAACTTGCAAAAGTATTAGGAGTTGGGCAAACATCGTAGCTTCCGATGGGCAATACTTTGAACATTAAATGTATAACAATTTTTTCACAATAAAGTCTTAATTTTCGAAAGAAACCGCATTAATGCATACACCCAATACTTTTCTTTGGCGAAGTACGAGCATGACTGGTTCTTTCAGTATATTGGACATTATGCAAGATTTGTTAAAGTTGCCTTAAACTGAGGAAGGTATTTTGATTGTCAGCATAACTCTGGGCTGACAAAGCTTAGCTGTTTTAGAATTGCTTACCTAGGTAGGTATGCAGGTAGGGTGGGTGTCTGAGAACGTACCTATCCTTTTAACAGGCCCATTGTGAAACCACTGGAACTGAAATTCCTTCATTCTATTATGTGCAAATCCCGAGATAAACCCTCAACCGATAGTTCCAATCTTTTTCTTATACAAAGCCTTGTATTCGCATAGAAGATGTTCATTAGTCTCTTCTTCTTAGTTGATGTATGTCGTCCCCAATCTACTGGCATGTTTACTACTAAAAGTGACCTGTTAGCCCTCCTACTACAGTTTTAATGTGATTTCTTTTGAATTTCAATAGTCGGCATATGCGCCCCGTGTTTTATTCATGTCACGTGTGTCTGCTTGTTGAGCAAGTTTGAATTGTCTTCACCGCGACTCAGTTGTATCTAATATAACATATTTGTCGATTAAATATCTACAAGTAGCCAGAGGCTAATATATTACTTCTTTATCGTAGTCTAATTGTAGGATGGTACCTGTTCTGGCTAGTTCATTTGATTCACAGTTGCCAGGAGTATCATTATGTCCTGAACCCGTTGCAGATTTATCGTGAAATAAGATTTTGGATCCGCTAAGAGATCAAGGAATTCCTGCACTATCTTCCATGAAACTCCAAGAGACTTTAGTGATTTTTAAGCCGTTTGGTTATCTGTATATATAAATATATTTCTTGTTGTGAGCACGTTCTTTGTCAGAAGAAGGCTTACTTAATTGCTGTGATCTTCGCTTGGGAAACACTGCAGTGGTCTGGTAGTCGGAAGGTGATTCTAGTATCTAACTTGACTCGATTGTCTACTATGGATTCATCTGTATTGAACTTATACCTGTGTCCCTGCCCTTATCACGACCTAATTTAAGTTTAATTCTAAAGGATTTCGATTGACTTACCTAAATCAACTATTGGTTTTTATGTAGATATTATTAATATACAAATGATATATTGTATGCCAGAAAGAATTAGTACATAAGTCATATATGATGGTTTCAATGGTGTACGAGTGTAAAATTTTACAACAGTAGTTACCTTAAGTGAAGTTATCATTCCATTAGACAACTATATTAGGTGTGCTGTATCCTAAAGCATGTTGATACTTTTAGGTGATTTGCCAGTTTTTATGAAAATAAAAATTTTGAATAATTTAACTTGTTACCAGAAAGTTTAATTCATTCCTCCTTACTTTTTATTTCTTTCAGGTGGTTTAAAAGCATCTAACTTTATTATATTATATTTCAATGGATGTACCAAGAAGAGAGAAAGTAAAACTAGCTTACCTAGAGCAACAGCACTGAAGGAGTGTTAAACTTTACGCCTAAAATGGCCGAAACAATGAGCACTGAGATCCAAAGCGCACCGAAATAAGCAGACAGTTGAAGCTAAGAACTATTAAACTTTTAAACATTTGACCATAGGCTATCATAAAAGAGCACAGCATATGGTCAAGTTTTAAAAAAATATGAATGCACAATCCAACCAGAAACACAACACTAAAACTGCAAGCCTTGTAACAGAAACTATAGCCGCCGTTATGGCACCCATTTTGGACACGAGTAATGCGTCTTATGTGGCTACAACTTACAACGTGGACGCCGCAGCAACAACAGCGATAGCACTACCCTATTGGAGTAGTGATGGTGGCGATGAGGGCGGTGGCATTGGCAGCGCTGCAGCTGTTAGTGGTAGCTATAGTGCACTCAGTTCGACAGTGGGCAGTACTCACGCCTATAATGACACACTGGCGGTGGATTACAATTCGAGCGTTTATTATGAGTATCCGCCACCATGTTTGTCCTTCGACGAGGCGGCAAATGCATCATATTGGAATGTGACCTGCGATAATGCGTTGGAATATGGACTACCTTTGTATGGTTATTGTATGCCCTTTCTACTGATCATAACAGTAGCGGCGAATTCGTTGATTGTGCTGGTGCTAAGTAAGAAACACTTGGCCACACCTACAAATTTAGTTTTAAGGGGTAAGTGCTATAATATTTCGTGAATATAAGTATATGAATTTTTTCTAAATAAATTTGAATAAAATTTATTTCAGCTATATGCCTTGCCATATAGTCTATTTAGGTTCCTTACCTGACTATAGACATCAACACATTATATGTTAGCCTAGATTAATTAAATCATTAAGTAGAAAGTAAAATATTGATAAATAAGGATGTGATATCTTCGGATGCAGACAAACATTAAATACACTCTCATTTATCAGGATCATAGGCAAGGGGTTTCTTTTTTGAGTTGTCAAAACTGTTTTTTAAACAAGAAAGGCGGGAACTATTATATTAGGGATATGGAGGCTAGGTAGGTAGGTAAAGTGGCTGTCTTTCGACCCACCTAGGCCTTTAGGAGGCTCTTTGTGATACCACCGGGACTGCGGTCCCCTCACTCTATTGGCTCCTCTCTGAACCACCCCGTACTTCTGATGAACTTCATCAATGAGACAAGTTTTATCCGTGCAAACTCCGAGACGTCGAGAAGCGCATAGAAGATGTTTAATGGTCTCCTCCTCTTCTACTTCCTGACAGCTTCTACAATAGTCGTTATATGGCATACTAAGTCTAATTGCATGTCTGCCTATTAAACAGTGTCCTGTTAGTACTTCTACTAGAGTTCTTATATCATTCCGCTTGAATTTTAACAGTCGGCATGTGCGGCTCATATTCCATTCATGCGACGTTTGCCTGCTACTTGAGCAAGTCAGGGACTGATTCCACTGACACTCGGCTATGTTAATGACATGTTTGTCGATTAAGTATCTACAAGTAGCCAGAGGCATATATAATATATGTTCTCCTTCCCAGGATTTAGTTGTTGGGTGGTGTCTGTTCTGGCTAGTTTATCTAGCTAGACTAGACTTTTGTTTAGCTTAGGGACTGCTGTAACTGAGCCGGGAATAATCCATCTGGTCTCGGCGATTTATAAGGCTTGAAGCTGCCTATCGCCCAATAAACATGACTATCTGACACTATGTCTAGCAGAGCACTTCAGTCTCCAGTATATGCTCCCTTATGTGGTTCTAGGAACTGTCTGGGAAGTGAGTATCCATTAGTAGGCCTAGAGTCTCTTCACTGGATACCGTCCAGCTGTGGTCTGGCGTCTGAAGGTATCAGATGTTATGTATTGACTGTGTCATTTATTTTTCTAAGTCGAGACGATTTTGTCGTATTCTCGATGTCATTACAAAAAGATTTCCCCGAATTTCTTTTTGACTTCCTTACTTCTTTTTTGTATGACCGTAGGAGGTTATAATAGTTATCCCACTATTCTTCTCTTTGGGATAATTTGGCAATATTGAATTGCTTCCTTTAATCTTTCTGCATGTTCTTAAGTATGGGAGACCACCAAGGGGGCCTAATTCTTCCCCTACTGTTTGTTAATGGACAAGACATCTCTATTGCTTGACGACAAGAATCTGTGAACTGTTTAACGAGGTTCTCTAGGTCCTCTTTGTTCTCTGGTTGAAATGGTGGAATCATAGGAATACGCTTTTTTAGCTCCTGTATGTGCATTTGCCAGTTCGTTTTCCTATGATTCCTAAATTTCTTTTCCCTAACTACATTCTTTTCAATTATACACTCAATGTAGCGGTGATATGAGAAGGAATGTTCCTCCAGTACCATCCAATTTGTTATTTTATCCACCAGTTCTTCCGATACAAGTGTTATATCTATCTTTGTTGCATAACAAATGCTTCCTTCCTATTAAATAATTAAAAAGTAAATCACCCCTTTCATTGATGTCCGTGCTGCCCCATAGTATGTGGTGTGCGTTGGAGTCGCACCCAAGTATAAAGTATAATCAAGCGCTTGGATGCTTCGGTGTCTCGTACCAGCTCTTTGATCAGGTGCGATGGTACTGCTACCTCGTCATACGGCATGTATCATGATGCCAGCCGGTATTTCTTTCCGCCCGTCGCCCGGCTTACTACTGTAGTGTCGTTACCACTGTAACTGTGTAGTAAAAAGACATTAAGCTTTTTACTAGCCAATATACATGTCCTAGCCTTACCTACGCAGCCAGCCACGTATAAATTATACTCCGGTGTCCTCAGACCGCAAATACGTCCTCCATTAACCCATGGCTCCTAAATGAGGACAAACTCAGGCTGTTCTTCTGCCATGCGGTTAATTAGGGCTGCTGAAGCTAGTTTGCTGTGGTGTAGATTAATTTGGAGAAAACGCATTAGTTAGTGTTTTCTTTGCGTCTTCTTGAGAGTCGCTTAAAAGCTCACTCTCAGTGTAAAGTTTGGAGAGTCTGTCTCCAAGCTCAGACCCCGAAGTACGCTCACCTTGTTCAGTGTTCTCCACATCACTCGAGTACTCCATTGGATCTTCCTCGATTTCGCTGCGCGATATTAAATTTTTTCCATATTAAAAAAATATTCCGACACGTCAACTTCAAATGGCTTGTAAACAAAGGATTAATTGACAGAATTGACTTCTGTTCTCACGACAGATGTACCAACTTGAGAAAAAAAAAATTGGAGGTAGTAGTGGTATTTCTTGATGAGTGCAGCAGCTTTTCAACCAACCTGTATGTATATATAAAATAAAATATACCGTGCCTAATCAGCCGGAAAGTCAAAATTCATTATACTGAGCTTATTTATTTTTACACCCAATTTTCCATATTGTTTTCGTATAAAGTTCACTAGAATACCGAAAATCATTATCATCAGGGTCCGACTCACTTAGTTTCGGCATCAAACCACAGTATCTCCTAGATTATTCTTTCACTTCATTTTGATAAAATTGAACTTTATTTACGGTGTACAGTCAACCGAAAGTTCGAAACATTTTTATTAGGCATGTCTGGGCTTGGGTACTACTTCGGTACTACTTGAACCGTTTTTATTATATTATGTTATTTTAGAAAAAAAAGTTGGACACTTAGATATCATTAAAATTTATTAATATTATATTATATTATATTATTTAATATTTTCGTTATAAAGCCAGCTGTAGTTTCAGTTTCACATATGCTAAATCTTAGGATATGAAAGTTATAGTCCGATTTTGATAATTATTTTTAGACCAGGCACCAATACTAGGCGGAACTATTTGCAGAAAGTTTTATTCCGATATTGAAATTTGATTTATGTTGGCTTCGCCCATATGCAAACTGTAGTGGAAGTATATCAATACAATTTTATGCACCAATTTTGGCTCAAATTAGTTTAGTAGTTTTTCAATTAGTTTTAGGTTCTAAAAACATGCGTCTTGTGAACAAAACTATTACAATTAATGCAACATGTTGTAAGAATAGGGTTATAAAGACTTAAACTGCAGTTTCATATTTTCGTAAACTCTCAGCTTGATAACAACATTACAGTACAGCTTACATAGATTTAATTACTCTTTGATTTGGTTTTCATGAAGAAAGAGATGACGCATACACATTGAGTCATTATCGAACTGAATATTTGCTATAAATGACACAGATACATGTTACCTGTTGTTCAGATATAAGTCCTAGTCTCATGACATTAACCTTGATTGTCTTTCAGTTGAAAGCTCGAACTAAGATTATGGTGTACATAAGGCGGTACACATCATGTTATTAATTTTTTTTTGTTTAAGTTACATTCATAATTTACTCTTATTAAACACATACACATACATTAATCACCCCTAAGTCCACTTACATAAATGTGCACTTATTTATTAGAGGAAGTTTTGAACACCAACCTCCCCTACAACAGTGCCTATTGCGATTCTTCTTTTCTCATTAGACAAGTACAAGAGTACAAGGTGTGAATGCAATCGCTTAAATGCACACATGACACGCTTACACTAGCACACTAGCATATATTATATAATATATCATGTATACACAACCATACGTTATATTCTTATATATCTTTGCCAGCTCGTAATGCGCAGTGATTTCAGTGTCAGATCCTTGATGTAAACACACGCGAAATCGATGACAACATTAATTTTACGCCTTGGTGGCACAAGGCGTCGATGTGAAGGCGTATGGGCCGTAGTATGCTAACTGTAAACACATTTCTAAATGACAACACACTGCTCTCTATCGCACAGTAAAAAATGCAAACATACATTAAAATGAAATCGATATTATTAGCATTTCAGGCAGCAGAAGGCTTTCCATCACTTTCCTCTTCGCTCTCAGCCAATAACGATGTTTAGGTCGCGCTAATTTCAGCACTTCAGAGCTTTGTTTGTTTTTACTGTGCAATAAGGATTTCATGTTTGAGTACTATTCTTTGTTTTTGCTTACAGGATCGATTTTAAATAGAACACTAATGACATTTTTGAAAAAAAAATATGTGAGCAGATATAAAGATCCCCGCGAGTAGTCTCTGCGACGCAGGGATCCAAGTTTTCGGAAATGCAGTTGAGAGAGAAGAGAATTTCGGCGTGTCCTTGTTGGATATCACGTTGACGTATCCTTCGGTTAGCTCGTAGACGGTATTTACCACAGAAATTATAAGACATAATACTAGATATTAACATGAATTGTAGCCAAGTATGAATCAAATGATATTTAAAGATGTGAGAAAGAGTAAAGTTCGGGTGCAACCGAAAATTTTATATTTTTGCAACTGGCAAGGATCAAAGTCGGGGAAATATTTTCTGGTATCGGCAATATTAAAAAATCAATTTCACTTATATTGAGCGTTAAACTATTAATATATAATAATTATAACTTTAAAGAAAACGTGTAAACTTAATTTTATTAAAATATCACACATTTTGACCAACCTAAACGGTTGAAAGTCCGGTGGAAAGTCGGAAACCACTATATAGGTTATATTGGGGACAGAGAAATGAAGGGGCTGATTGCATTAATTTTTTAAATTGGTAAAGTATACTTGAGAACTTGTTTTCAAGCAATTTTATAAATATATAAATATAGACATATGTACACATATATAGAGTCAAGTCAGCCGGACGTTTTAAAATTCCTGCATATCAGTTATATGGGGGCGAAGGCAAATTTTCATCCGATTTTACCCATTTTAGGCACAAAGATACACTGTCGCTATCTCAATTTTTTTAAAGTAACTTCCTCATTGGGCGATATGTGCGGTGTAAAGTCACAAGAAAGTTAAAAAATCTTTATATTAGGTATATGAAGGCTAAGAGAAGTATTGACCCACTTCCACTTGTTCGGTTTGTGGGGGCTTGAATAGTTAAAGTCCGATTTTGACCATTCTTTAGACCCGCGATTGCATACTTCACATGCACTATTTGTGAAAAGTTTTATTCGAATATATTTATTAGTGCTTGATTTGTGTACTGGAAAGTAAAAGAATCAAATGGAATTTAAATATTTGTGTTATACGGGAAGTAGGCGTAGATGCAGTAAGATTTTGCCCATTGTGGCAATCTACTGAAGTTGGTTGAAATCGGTCGAGCAGGTCCCGAAACATGCTTTTCCCCTAAATGCGGGCGGTACCACAGCCATCGTCCAATTTTGAAAACGGCTCATATAAAGCTCTCTTTTATCATACTGGGTGTAAAATTTAATGTCTCTGGTGCATTTAGTTATTGATTTATCGCGCTTTTAGTAGTTTTAAACAAAACCGTTATGTGGGGAAAAGGCGAGTTTATCATCCGATTTCATCAATTTTCACAGCTTCGATGTCAGTTTCAGGAGTTTTCAAAAAATTTCTCTTAAGGGGGTATTCTGGTCTAGATTTTTCAATTTTTTTCATATTTTCAAAGCTTAACTATTCAAGAATGTGTGTACGAGAGGATTTTTGAAAATTCGAATTATTTTCGGAGATATAGGCATTTTGCTGGCGTTTTGTATGTGTAAATGGATAGTAAAAATATTAATTGCCTATTTTATACAGCACTTTAAAAAAAACCTAAAAATCATGCCTCTAGACCAGAATACCCCCTTAAGCGAATTCGGTTATTGTAGCTTGAGGGGCTTAGGAGATATGTACATTTAACTTATTAGAGGGCGGGGCCGCGCCCCCTTTTTCAAAATTTTATTAATGGATTATAAAAAGTTATACATTAATCAACTCACCCTCTATTTTTGACAAAGCTGCTCGTATTCTATCGTTATCAAATACTGAAGTAATTTACAGTTTAAAACAAAAAGGAATTCGGTTGGAAAATAGTAAAGGATGAAGCGGCGTCAAATATTAAATAAATCTGAAATCCATAAATTTCATTAAATGCCATGCAACTCAAGTTGTTGAGCTAATTAGCCATTTTGAACTCATAAATAATGAAATTGGGAAAAATTACCGCCGGAAGAGCGGTATGGAAATGAGTTGACTAGTCGGATATTGCCTGCAATAGCATTCATGGGATTAATTGGGCAATTTTAAATGTTGCTAGCATTTTACAATTCAAACTCGGTTGAGTGCGCTCGAAAATTAATCGCTTTAAACTATCACTTAGGTAGCGTCTCGGTAACATCTTTTGAATGTCACCACACAGTCTCTACGCAAAATAAAAACGAAAAATAAGGATTGTGATTGAAGTAAGCATTAGGCGAAATTTAATTAATGCAGCACTCAAATGACTCCATCTAGTCAGGGAGTTGTTGGGGCAATTTAAAGGCACTAAAAGATCCAGTTTACATACAGATGCCCGCAGAATCGTTCGTTACTTGTTGTTGTTGTACAAAACATGCTTTGTACTAGTGCTGACTGTAAACTCCACAGCTGGGAGTGGTGGAACACACAGATTTATGGTTTCGTGGTTACCATATAACATAAAAGAATGCAATGAATAATATTAAATTCCACGAATACACAGTTACCCAGAAATATTTGTACAAACACACTGTTAAGTAGCTTAATTGCTCAACAATTTTGCAGTTCCGCAGTGTCCATGCGGACAACCACTACCAAAAATTATGACTTCATATTTGCCCACATCTGCAGACATAAAAGTTAATTAACGGCTTATGGTGTTGGTATGGATGATTTTTTGAATACAGTTGTTGTTGGCATGTGGTTATGGCTACACTCATTGGAAATAACGGGTTTACGGTTTCACACATTACGAAGCTCGTGAACCTAAATTACGGCACTCCATTTTCACAAAGTCAGTTATACCTTCCGGCTGACTGAAATAATTTATAATTGCCGTTCATTGTACAAAATTATTTTTGTGGTTGTGATGACATTAGAAGTTGTGCTTCAAATTGTGGGTATGATTAGAGTTATTTCGAATTTTCTTCAGATAGAAAAATTTCTGTCAGAAAAATTACGTTTGTATCTTCCCCTTCCTCCAATCTATGTCATTTCATATCTTACTTTACCGTCTGTTTGGAGAGCAATGCTATGAGCTCACATCATCCTATATGGTAGTAGTTCTATGCCAGATGTGCTCCGAAACAGCTTTTTAAAATACTTTAAAATTTGCTATAGCTTTCAGAGTTTGTATTCGAATGTAGAAAAATTGGTTTGAGGGTCGGTGATTAGATTCTTGTTTTTGAAGCGCAAAGCGCGCAGTTAAACCAAGGAACACAGGGGTTTTGACTCTTCTCATCGATGACAACGGTGAAAAATTGATTTATTTGATGCTGTTTAAGCGCAATCCGAAAGAATTTCTACATTGTTTCGTGACCGTCGAGAGAACTGGATTCACTGGTATACACCACAGATCAAGAAATAATCTACAATTAGTAATGGACTTCACCTTCAAACCTGCTCCGAAGAAGGTGAAGAATGCCGTATGGAGCGATAAGCTCATAAGGTGTGATCTATATCGAATGCTTGGAGAAGAGCAAAGCGGGCACAGGGCGCTAGATGTTCGACGAAAGACTTGCAGACCCAAAAGCTCCATTTGGCGAAGGGAAAGTGCTTTTCAAGGATGATAATATAACTCACACCTCTGAAATTAGATAAATGAGGCTACTTACTGCTTTCCCATCCATGGTATTTTACATATATTATTTGTCCGACTAGTTTTTGTTCTTGTTCTTGAAAAAGTCACTAACTGCTCAGACATTTCAATTGAATCTGGAGGTTATTGCCGAATTAAGGATTTCTTTGCAGATCTCCAGAAAACGTCATTTTAAAATTTTTTAAAGAAGTTAAAGCAACGTTGGGTCAAATGTATCGAGCTAAAAGGAGACTATGTTGACACTTAAATCACCATTTTCGCAAAATTTCCTTTGTAGGCTACGTATTTATAAGATTATGTACATATCTTTTTATCTCTCTGTCGTCTTGTAACAAAGAACGAAAAGTTTAACTCAAAAGAGAAAAGTACAGGGATACCTATATATAAATGATCAGTATAACGAGACGAGTTGAAATCCGTATGTATCTCTGTCCGTCCGTCCATCTGTCCGTCGCACTGTCCTTGCATGCTGTAACTTAAGTATAAACTAAGATATCAGAATGAAACTTGGTACACAAGTTCCTTGGCAAAAGAGTAAGGACGAGTTCGTAGATGGGTGTAGTTTGACCACTGGCACGCCCCCAAACGCCATTAAACATATATAGTGCCATAACTAAGCCGTAAATTAAGATATATAACTCAAATTTGGCGCAACGAATCAAATTGAGGAGGGACAGCTGTGGTTTAAAATCTTAAAGAAGTGGACATGGCCCCGCTCTTAATAAGTTTAATGAATATGTCTTCCAAACCAATAAGTCTACCCCACCCACTCATCATATAACGGTTTTCTTAAAAACTACGAAAAGTGCGATAAACCCAGGATAGCACGAGCGAGCTTTATAGGAGCCGGTGTCAAATTTGGACGAAGGGCGTGGCAATTCGCCCCCATATACCTACTGGAAAGATTTTAGAATTTCCGCCTGACTTTTTAGCACATATATCGGTTGATGTGTGATTTACCTTAATGAAATTGAAAGAGCGTGTTTTTCTAATAACAATGTATCGTTGTGTATAAGGTATTTCAGCAGCTTTGATCCTGGAAAGTTTTAAGAGTATGAAATGTTCAGTTACATTCGAACTTAGCCTTTCCTTGCTTGTTTACTGATCTATTCGATTCTTGCTAGCTGTTTGTTAGATTCGCTATTACTCTCCAACGTTAACCATATCTCATACTTATCTCTTCAATTGAGATGACTTGTGAGTGTTTATACACCATGTTCTTACACCATATGTTATACATAAAATCACTTATTGTGAGATCCACCTTTCACATGTATTTTATGCCAAATTATGCTTTGATAATTACTTTTCTAATAATTTCGGTAAAGTGATAAGTACACTCGTTATTTAATTACTCATCACACAACTTGCAAAGATAAACACAAAAATCCAATTATTATTTGAAAATAGATATTGCTTGTTGTAACTTTTCCCCTAATTATGCCTTTTCGCATTTGAACGCTTGTCTAATTGTATTTTTCCAGCTATGGCGATATGTGATATGCTGACAGTGATATTTCCGGCGCCGGGCCTCTGGTATATGTACACATTCGGCAATCATTACAAGCCGTTGCATCCGGTATCAATGTGTCTGGCTTATTCTATATTTAACGAGGTGAGTAAATTTCAAAAATCATTGACAATGAAGCCTTAATGAGTGCTCGATATTGTCGCCTATAAACAGGCACAACATGTCATTTAACAAAAATTGCAAGCACTTCATGCATTTACACTCACAACCGTAGACGTTCATGTTTGCATATACACGTACCATACATAAGCTCCAAATTTGAAAATTCTCAAATATTTATTTTTTATGTTGAATTACTTAAGTTGAAGTCGATACCACCAACCGAGTTTGTGCAATTGTTGCACTCAGTTATTTCAACGAGTATTTTTTTGGAGAAAATTACAATAATATTGTACGTACAGAAGCGCTTAACAATAAGACGATTTTTAGTTGGATAATAGCACGGTTACGGGTAATGAAGACAGTAATCCATTTCCCTGGATATGGAAGTACAAAAATAATATTACCAAATATAATTAACAAATAACGATGTGTTCTTATATAATATATACCATATGTCTCCAAAGAATTATCTCTCTCACCATAATTGCTAATATGATAAATTTTAAGAAAAGTAAGCTTTTTATGAAAACTTGGTGGCGTTATCGTTTAAACTGTATAATAGTATTCTATAGAAATTATATTTTACACGATGTGAGTACGATCGTAAGTACCGAACTATTTGCAAATGATAAATGGGAAATTTTGTGTACGTGCTCATTTCGACTTCAGGAATGAGTCGAAAGAAATTCGTCGATTCGAGATAGTCTAAAGGCCTAAATTCCAAAATGATTTTTTTGGCGTTGCTAATTTTAAAAATTGTTTATCAGTTATATGTAAATATTTCCAGAGCATCAGAAATTTCAGAGTAAAAAATTATTTCGAAGTTAGTTTAGGTATACGTTTAAGGTTTTAAGTTCTGACTAAACCTGTCAAGTAGCCACAACACTAAAATGACTGAGCTTTTAAAATGTTTCATAAAATCCTTTTAAGGAGATAATCTAGTTTTTGTTATGTTCAAATTAAGGTTTATCGCAAGGCAACTAAAGGTTGATGTCTGTGCGTGTAATAAACCTTCAATTTGCATACATTCCACATAGTTCGGTTCCGAGCACTCCATTACTTAAGTCGCTTTGCATAACTATGAATACATATAAGTGCGCATATGTTTGGAATTACATATGTACATATGCACGGAGTATGCAGCTGTCGAAAGGGCTAGTAGCCAGGAGCTCTAATGACAACACTTCCAATGCGTCCATCACATAACTGTAAAAGCAAAGTTCATAATATCTTCCACTATCACAGATGCTTTCGTGTGCAATCAGAATGCAGCAGTGTTTTTATATATGCATACACATGTGTCTGTATATGGCAGTACACTGCACACCTGAAAGCAATGTTTTATAACTGTATTTATGTTCACCTGTATGCACGTACTTGCATGAAAATTCATTTCACATCCAAAAGATGACAAACTTCAGCAATTTATTGCTTCTTACATATTTTTTATCTTTTCTCTAATCATTTTTAGTGCTTATATGGTATATTCTACTTTTTTTGCGACCGACTATCAAACTCCTCCAGGAAAATAAATTCGCTGATATGCCATTTACTACATAAAATCCTGAGGATATTTTATACTCTCGCAACATGTTGCTACAGAGTATAATAGTTTTGTTCACCTAACGGTTGTTTGTATCACCTAAAACTAATTGAGTTAGATATAGGGTTATATATATATAAATGATCAGGATGAAGAGACGAGTTGAAATCCGGGTGACTGTCTGTCCGTCCGTCCGTCTGTGCAGGCTGTAACTTGAGTAAAAATTGATATATCTTTATGAAACTTGGTACACATGTTTCTTGATACCGTAAGACGGTTGGTATTGCAGATGGGCGTAATCGGACCACTGCCACGCCCGAAAAACGCCATTAATCAAAAACAAATAAATTGTCATAACTAAGCTCCACAATAAGATACAAGAGTAAAAAGGGTTCGGTGACATCCTAACTTATCCCTTTCTTACTTGTTTTTTTACTAAGTTTTTTCAATCGAGAGAGATTTCTAATGCTAATGCAAAGTTTTTAAATCTTATGGAACTCTTCAAAAGCCGCAATATCGGGTGTTATTATTTATGCTGGCTCTATTCATCCATAGCGAACTTAACATAACATACCTTTAATAGTTACCGTTGCTAGAGAGCGGTAATACTGTTTATAAAAGTATTTTCTATTTTTTGTGTGTATCTAGTTATTTACGCATAAATGGAGCAGGTGAACACAGTGAACCACATTTGTAACAATATTCAAAAGGCAGATGAATTGGAGAGAAACCTTCTTGACATAAATATTTTTGGAGATTGCGTGATGTAAGGTAGATCCTACCCTATTTATACCCTGGAGAGGGTATATTAAATTTGCCAAGAAGTTTGTGACACCCAGAAGGAAACGTCGAAGACCCTGAGCTGAGTCGACTTAGCCGTGACCGTCCGTCAATCAGTCTTTCTGTATTTGCATAGGCGAACTAGTTCCATGTTGTTTGAGATATGGATCTGAAATTATGCACACATCTTTTCTTCCTAAGAATCTGATAAATTGTTGAAACCACCAATATCGGACCATTATAATATGAGGAATACAAATACAGTAGAGTAAAATTAATTTATTTAACGATATCAATATGATCCGCCCTGTAATCTATACTAATATTATAAAGAGGAAAGGTTTGATTTTTTGTTTGTCTCGAATAGGCTCTGAAACTACTGCGCCGAAAATTCTTTCACCATTCGAAAGCTACACTATCCCTGAGTGACATAGGCTATATTTAGTTTTGAAAAAAAAAAAAATGACTCGTTACCAAAACTCCGATAATGTAACCCAAGATGAAAAAAAAAACCTAAAAACTTTCTTTAATCGCGAATGCTGTTAAAACTACTGAATATATAACAAAGTGATGTATTACAATTTTGTAGAACTAACCATTATTTACAAAAAACGTCGTAACATCATATCTCTAACTATTATAGTTTTGTGACAATAAGCGATTTTTTATATTAAAAAAAATAATTAAAATACCACTGCTTGAAAAGGCTCTTTATTTGTACCGTGGTATTATTCCTTAACAAAATAAATTATTTTTTATTTAAGATTGCTTTTAATCCTTTATATCACTTTTTGAATTATTAGATTCTGACATTCCATTCAAAAGATATCACGAGTAAATTTTTTTTTAAATAAGCGCTGTGGAGTGGTAGGCGTCACTCGGGCACGGAGGGGGGTTAAGATCACGAAATAATCTGCCGCGCGGCTCCCTACTGAATAGTCGTGTGCGGAAAAAAAGTGTCGCTTGATAATATTTTGTCGCTTAGTTAGTAGTTAATAATTCGTTAACAGGTAACTAATCCCATTCAAAAAATTCTTTTCAGAGCTAAATTCTAGCATATAGCATAGATATTGTATTTATTATAGTTATCCTAAGAAATTATTACTTGAATAATTTTTATGATTTTATAAATAGTTAGTAGTTGTGTACGTTGTTGTAGTAAGTAGCTCAAAGATAGCATAGCTATATAGGTAATTATTTAGTTCGAAGAAGTTTTTTTCTTTTATCATTTTAAAATGCCCAAAAGATCAAGATCTCAACTTTCTAGAAATAATTCTAAGGCCAGGGCCAAAAAAACATGTCGAAATAAAGAATCTTCATTGAAACTGAAACTGAAAATCGTCTTTTAAGTCAGAGAGAATATGTGGCACAATCGCGTGCCAGAGAGTCGAGTAACGAGCGTTCGCAACGGCTCGCTGAACAGAATATTAGAACCTCTCAAAGACGTGCGCGAGAGTCCAGTATTCAGCAGTCACAACGGCTCGCTGAACAAAATGTGAGAATTTCTCGAGTTCGCGCGCGAGAGTCTAGTCTTGAGCGTTCGCAGCGCCTAGCTGAACAAAACTTAAGAACCTCTCATGTGCACGCGCGAGAGTCAAGTACTGAGCGTTCGCAGCGGCTTGAAGAGCAAAATTCCAGAAATATACAATCCCGCACTAGGGAATCAAGCTCAGGGCGTTCCCAACGCCTTCAAGACCAGAGAGAACGACAACAGACTCTTGTAGTCTAGAGTTCGCAATCGAGTTGTAGCTCACAGTAACAGATCGGCTTTTAGATACGAACCACAGATTGATTATGCTCAACAGTCTTCTGTCCAAATCGGTGACATGAATAAGATTTGCCCTAATTGTTTTGCCAAATGGGTCGATGAAACTAATGGCATGTGCTGTGCTTCTGGAAAAGTTAGTGTCCCCAATATTCAAGAACCACCACAGCCAATAAAAAATCTTTTGACAAATAATCATTCGCTATCTAGACATTTCCTAACCAACATCCGTAAGTACAATAGTCTTTTTCAAATGACTTCGTTTGGCGCGAAAGAAATAAGAGAAGGTAATTTTGTGCCAACTTTTAAAATAGAGGGCCAGGTATATCATCTTATTGGTAGCCTTTTACCACCATCAGGCCAAAATCCACAATGCTTACAGATATATTTTATTTCAGACGCAGATCAGCTATCGTTAAGGGCAAACATAGCTCCAACGCTTAAAATAGACTTAATTAACGAACTACAGACCGCACTGAAAAGGCACAACGTATATATACGAAGCTTTAAACAAAATATTGAACGCAACTCTTCGGATAATTTAAAGCTAATTATTCATTCCGACCGCCCACCGCAGACTGCTCACCCGGGTAGATACAATTCTCCAGCTGTAAACGAGGTAGCTGTTCTCTTGGTTGACGAAGAAAAAGGCCCCAGAGATATAGTGCTGCACGGAAGAGACGGCCAACTTAAAAGGGTTTCCGAGTTACACCGATCGTATGATCCTCTACAGTATCCCTTAATGTTCGTTAAAGGAGAAGACGGTTACTATTTAACCATTCCACAGGAAGGTACAGCGCGTAACAAAACTGTGACATGCATGCAATTTTATGCATTCAGGTTGATGGTTAGAGCTAACAGTTTTAATCCTTTACATTATTACAGGGACTTATTTAGTCAATATATTGTCGATATGATGGCAAAACTGATATCGGAACGATTGAATTACATATGTCGTAACCAACAGAGACTAAGGTCTGAAGAATACATTCATCTCAGAGATGCTTTAAATCAAGACGGAAATGTTGACCCATCAAATATCGGTCAGCGCATAATCTTACCGTCTGCATTTACAGGTTCTCCGCGTTACCTGCATGAAAAAACCCAAGACGCGATGACGTATGTCCGAAACTACGGAAGACCAGACTTATTTGTCACGTTTACGTGCAATCCTGAATGGCCTGAAATTAAAGCGGAACTACTATCTGGTCAGCGATCTTTCGATCGTCACGACATCATTTCAAGGGTGTTTCACTTAAAAATGAAGAAATTCATAAAATTATTCAATAAAGATGAAATATTCGGCAAAGTGAAATGTTACATGGCGAGTATTGAGTGGCAGAAGCGAGGTTTACCACACTGTCATATGCTTTTTTAGCTAGAGACAAAAATCCAACCAGACGAAATTGATAGGGTCATAGTTGCAGAACTTCCCAACCAACAAAACGATCCAATATTGTACGATATCGTAACTAAAAAAATGGTGCACGGTCCATGCGGAGAACATAACTTAACAGCACCATGTATGAAAAATGGCATTTGCACAAAAAAATACCCGCGACGTTTGGTCAACGAAACTCAAACCGGAGATGACGGATATCCAGCATATCGTCGTCGTGATGCTGCAAGTGGAGGACAGAGTGCATCGCTCAATATCAGAGGCAGTAGTTTCACAATAGATAATAGCTGGATTGTCCCTTACTCTCCACTTTTGTGCAGGACGTTCAATGCTCCCATAAATGTAGAGTACTGTCACTCAGTTCAAGCTATCAAATACATTTGTAAATATATAAATAAAGGATCGGATCAAGCTACATTTGGCGTCAGAAAATAAAATGATGAAGTGGATAACTACGTGAATGGCCGGTAAATAAGTACTTCCGAAGCTGTCTGGCGAATATTGGAATTTCCAAGCCACGAGCGCCATCCTACAGTCTTGCAGTTAGCTGTCCACTTAGAAAATGGCCAAAGGGTGTATTTTACCGCCGAAACGGCTGAACAAGTGACTCAGAATCCGCGTAAAACAACTTTGCTGGCTTTTTTTGAGCTATGTAATGAAGATGAATTCGCAAAAACACTTCTATACCACGAAGTCCCGCAGTACTATACATGGGCCAATAATAAGTTCACAAGAAGGAAGCGTGGTGAGGATGTAGTTGGACATCCAGGCATAAAAAAGATGCAGCTTTAGGTAGAGTCTACGGTGTCCATCCTTCTCAATTCGAGTGTTTCTGTCTTAAGATGTTGCTACATCACGTATGGGGCCCAACCTCATTCCAGTACTTAAAAACCATTGACGGAGTTCTCAAAGATACATATCAAGCTACTTGCCGTGCTAGAGGTTTGCTAGAAAACGATGACCATTGGGAAAATACTCTCAGAGAAGCTTTGCTTTCTCAATGTTCACAACAACTGAGAGAATTGTTTGTAGTCATACTTTTAGTTTGTCAGCCATCGGAACCATTAAAATTATGGGGCATTTTTAAAGACGATTTATGTGAAGATATTAGACACAGAATCAGACAGCAAAATCTTAACTTCACGTTACCATACAATGCGGAAATTTACAACCAAGGTTTGATACAAATAGAAAATAAACTGATGCAATTAAATGACAAAAGCCTAAGTGACTATGGATTACCATGTTCAGTTCGTACAGAAAATAATGGAGCAGAGACAATAACTAATCACTATGATACAAATAATTTGACCGCTTTTGTAAATGAAAACCTGCCAAAATTAGTCCCTGATCAAAAATATGCTTTTCGAACTATCATCGATAGCGTCATTAATGACAAAAGAAAAGTTTTCTTTTTGGATGCACCCGGTGGAACAGGAAAGACGTTTCTTGCTAATTTGATACTTGCTAAGATAAGAGAATCGGGAAAGATAGCAATAGCAGTTGCTTCTTCAGGAATTGCTGCAGCTCTCTTGACAGATGGAAAAACAGCCCATTCTACTAAACTTCCGCTATCCGTAAATCTAGAGCAACAATCTACATGTTCTATCCGCAAAAATGGGCCTCTGGGTAAATTACTACAAGACGAATCATTGATTATGTGGGACGAATGCACGATGAGCCATAGAGCACATATAGAGGCCGTGAACAGAACCTTACAGGATCTAAGGAACTCCTCTGCAGTCAGGGGCGGGATTACTTTTTTTTGCGGGAGATTTTCGACAAACTCTCCCCGTTATTAACAGATGTACGCGAGCAGATATCATCAAGGCATGCTTGAAATCGTCACCATTATGGGCTTCAATTGAAACATTAAAATTACGAACGAATATGAGAGCTCATGTTCATATTGTAGAATCACTGATAGCGATTTCCCACAACAACTAATAAAACTTGGAGAAGGAATCTTTCCCACTCCAAATTTAAGCGGTGATTGTGACACTCTTCTGGATGAGTTTCTAGGTCAAATACTCCATAATTTAGAAAATTTAATAGATGCTATTTACCCTGATATCGACAATTTGCATGAGAAAGATTTTCATTGGCTATGTTCTAGGGCTATAGTGTCACCTAAGAATGATACTGTTAATGAAATAAACAATCTAATAGTTAAAAAGTCCCCGGCCAAATAAAAACATATAAATCGATCGACACTGTGACTAATATCGAAGACGCAGTCCATTATCCACAGGAATTTTTAAATTCGTTGAACCCTTCTGGACTGCCACCACATGCGTTGTCATTAAAAATCGGAATCCCAATAATGCCTTTAAGAAATTTAAGCCCTCCGAACATGTGTAATGGGACGAGGCTGCTTATTAAAGAGTTAAAGGACAATTTAATTGTAGCAACTATTATCACTGGCCCAGCAGCTGGTCAACTGGCTCATATACCGAGGATACCGATGATCCCGACTGATCTGCCAATCCCATTTAAACGGCTTCAATTTCCGGTAAAAACATCTTTCGCATTAACAATTAACAAGTCCCAAGGCCAAACCTTTGAATTGGTAGGGATCGATCTGCGAAAGAAATGTTTTACTCATGGTCAACTGTATGTTGGACTATCGCGGGTCGGAGCCCCTGAAAAACAATTTATTTTGTTGCCACAAAATAAAACAACATCAAATATTGTTTACTGGGAAGCTCTATCACAATAAAAGGCTTTTCTTTTGACGTTATGACCTCTTTGCAATAATTAAAAATATAAACAAAAAAAAACCTGAAATTGAGAAAAAAAAATGTTTGTATTAAACAAAAAAAATTAAAACGCAAAAAAATATAAAAAACACTAATAATAAAAAATACACAAAACAATGAAAAAAGTACAAAAAAATTAATTATATCTAAGAATTAAATTTCCCATTTTGTTTAAATTCGACTCGAAAAATTGAGAATATGTGTTTCATGTTTAGTACCCGTGCGAAGCCGGGACGGGCCGCTAATATATTATATACATACATATAACCTGGTGAGGTTATATCTACATACATATACATAAGCATATGAGCTTTACAAGCAGTTGAACGCCGAGCTTGTTTTAAGTATTCTTATAGCAAGTCGTGATAGATCCACTAGATGGGGCGCATACAAATGTGCATATAGACACTTTTGCGTCGATATGTGTTTGTAGAAATCAAATGCACACACACATCAATTGAAAAAACTTGTATAACATTGTCAACTTCAGGGAACAACACTGCAAATATTTGCGCTACCTGCTCGCTTTGTTCAAACATATACGTGCAGTGTATGCTGAATATATCGCACATATCCTGCGTACGATATGTATGTATGTATATGTCAGTTTTGTTTTCGTTTCCATATTTACATGTTTTCAAAAACAGGGGAGTGTCAGCATATCGGTTTTTGTCTTATATGAGTATACAAACCATACATACATAACTATTTTCTTCTGCTATGAAGTTGTTGTTTTATTATTAATGTTAAATGTACAATATTTTCAAAATAATATCGACTGATGGTTTATTGTTAACATGGTTTTAGCTTATGCCCGCTGTTTGTCACACGGCGTCCATTTGGCTGACCTTGGCACTGGCTATTCAAAGGTATGTATGCAAAATATGTAATAATAGTTATCTAGAAAATATTGTATCATGCAAACAGTTATTGCATTTTGACATTGAATTGCTAGATCGTAAAATTTCCGATGTCCCTTTGATTGCTTTGGTGATGTATCAGTGATAAATAAAATAAAATTTCCATAAAATGAGAGAGTATGCAGAGACTCTATTTAATCTAATTCGTTTTCAAGTTATTCCAGCAAAAACATACGATTAATACTGTGAAAATAGTTATAAGCAATAATAGATAATCTATTAAATAAGAAACCCCTGCGGAGGATCTGAGATGATCGCCAACGAATGCTATGAAAAAGTTTATTTCGGGGTCAAGGTGGAAGACGCACGTCACAAATGCAGAAGTTCGTCCAAGTATCTAACGGATATAACGACCCTTATTCGTTTAGTTTTAACATTAGTTATAGTCGTACAACTAAGCTTTAAATAGCTAAGTTAAAAAGTCAAAGAATATGATGGATTAATTGTTCCATGGTTCTCAATATGAAAGGTGTTTTTCAAGAAAAAATAAAGCGCATATAATTTAATGTTATGGGTAAGAATTTAGCTATATTATAAAGACAACGGTTCGCCATTATGTTTTAAAAATGATTTCGGACAAGAGACCGCCGCGGCTGGCTCAAATAAATTCCAGCCGAGATGCCCAATTTTCAACCACTTTTTGCAGCCGAAGCCGTATGTTCCCAATGCGTCAAACATTTCGGACTTGTCTGCGAATTCACCTAACTCCACAAAAAATAGTCCAGCGGTGTTAAATCGCACCAATTTAGGCACGAAGATGTCATTAGTCATACATCGTTCCACATTGACTGTAACATCGTGGCCGGCTTCAGTTTTGAAGACTTGTGGACTAAAATCACTTAGTCAAAATGCGACAATTTTGTTAATTAACGATCTCAAAAGTGCGCTTTATCGCTGAGAATTGTGAAAATCGGTATCGGTGGCCATCTCGTTTTGGGCCCTCGTCGATCCTTCCTTCTTCCGCAACATCTTCCATAAAGTGGATGTTAACAGCTGCAATTGTTGCGCGCGATGGTGGATGGGCTTATTCGGGTCTTCTTCGATATTCTGCTCCACAACATACCAAAAAAGTATTGCCTCATTGAAACCCACATTTGTAAACCACACCCGTTAGATGGATTGACACAGTAAAAAGCCATGGTAATAACTATTATTTTAAATCAATTCACAAGTTTTTTATATTGCATAAAAAATTGGGTCACCTGACCTGAGAACAATATGTAAAAATATCTTTTGAAAATCGTAGAATCATTGAAATTCTAACCAAATCTCCAAATTGAGGTGTATTTAAACCGAGTCGTAAAATACAATATATATTTCAAACAAGTAAGGAAGAGCTAACTTCGGACGTAACCGAACATATTATACTCTCGCAATTTGAAAAGATCAAAGGCGGGGAAATATTTACAGGTATTGACAAGACTTGATTATAAAAATATTGCGCAAGAATTCAACATTCATTGCCCGACGAAATCGTGAATGGATTATAATCGAATTTGAATCTAATTAACTTATATTTTGTAACCATATTTTACTTCCCATCAGGAAAAACTATATAAAATATGTCGTATCTGAAATAAGCTCAATCGATGTTATTAAATTTAATAGGAAATGAGGTTTGGTCCAATTCCATTCATATTCAGCGCTAAACCACATAATTTTTAAGAAGGCTTATCTACTTAATTACACTAAAATATCACATATTCTGATTAACTTATACGGTTTAAAAGCAGATGGGAAGACGGAAATAGTGTATATTGGGTGCAGAAAGGGGATGAGAGTTTGGGCAATTCGTGGACCAATTTCAAAAATTTTTGGCATTAAACTATAGTCTCATATATCCAATATTATACGTTCTGTTAATATTGTTGATATATCTATATATCGGGGCCAGGGGAATTATTGATCCGATTCAAACCATTTTTGACATACATACATACTATTATTAGAAAGGATTATCTTCGAATTTCTATAATATGACTCACAAATTGACCTAAATTTTCGATAAAAAAAAAATGGCTATAGAAACTGCGGTCCGCATATTCGACATGATGAGGCTTTGAAAGTTTTGTCCGATTTGGACACTTTTTGGCCATAAGGTGCCAAACCACAAAAGCACTAATTGTGCAAAGTGTTATCTGAACATATGTACATTAAACTTATTGGAGGGCGAGGCCACTCCCACTAATATAGTTCGTTGTACTAAACAACCATAGGAGGCCAGGGAACATTTGTACCTATTTTCATCAGACAGTCATTTGGAATTCAACTCGTCTTGTCATCCTGATCATTTATATATACTTGTATGTACATAACTCCATATCTATCTCGATTAGTTTTAAGTGATAGATAGCTATTATACTCCGTATCAACATGTATAAAAACTCTTGTCTGACATGAACCTCTTATAGTAGCATTCGTTATATAGACTTAACTGAAAAATTTTGAATACCATTGAAATAAGAGGATTGTACATAGATGATGCCCATATTTTTAGTTAGAAATTCAAAGAAAAATATTTCGATTTGGAAGCAAATTTCGCAAAATAGATAAGGGCTTTTATGTTTAATGTAGTAAGAGGTACGATGAAAGATCTATCTGTATGTGGATATGCTAACAACTTCAGACCGATATTATTCGTAAAAAAGTAAATTTCCAGATTCAAATCAAGTTTTTGAAGATCCACGAAATACGAAGTCCATCGAATTGCGTAGTGTTTATTTTGACTGGTTTTGCCTTTGAGGAACTGCGTTAACGTTAATCAATTCGGATAGCGTAGTCTGCCAGAAAAACACATAAAATAAAGCATCATAAAAGGAACATATTGTATTTGCTGTTCATCACCTCACCAACATAATTTCAAATAGCTTACTATAGAGAAAAAGAAAATCTAACCTCTGTCACATATTAAAAGCTTTCAAATAAAGCAAAACCCAATTCCGGTATATACATACATAAGTTTACATGCATGAGTTTCTGTAGATTATAAAAATTTTCTTGTTCGTAAAAAAACTCGTAAGCCTTTTACTGGTACACATACTGTGCGGCCAGCGGAAATTTGCCTTTATTATTGGTGTGTGTGGTGTTGTTGTTTTTGCCATCGTGAGCTTAACAGCATCCATTAAAAGAAGCAGACAGTCGGACAAAAATACAAACAAAACATCACATGCAGCATTAATTTTCAGTTTTTCGATTCTCTCTGAAGCAGCAACCAGGCGAATTCTATAAAAACGAGATTGTTGGGGGTATTTCCGGACCTCTCAAAAGCAAAACAGGATGTGTAAAAGTAAAGTAAATGCAGAACATAACACAAGAACCGCCTCTGCAGTTAAAATCTTGCTTATACTCTTGCAGGAAATTATTATTTTAATAAAATACAGAAATAAGTCGATTTTTTTGCCAATAACCAAATAGTGTAGTTTTTTTAACGGTAATAAAATAATCTCAGAATACTTCGTTATACATAGGATTTATTTTTTAACGGCATAGATATGGAGTTATGCTGTAAATGAAAACGGTCAAGATGTCGACACGAATGAGTTTTCAATGTCTGTTCGTCCGACTCTCCGATAACTTGACATATTCTAAAATATCTTAGTAAACTTGTTTCCTGAATCTCTAAGGGGGTTAATATTGTAAATAAGAATAATCGAACCAACACAAAAAATTGTAAAGTGCTATGTCTAAGTCACCAATTAGGCTGCAAATCTTGAATTTGGATCATAGTGGAGAGTAATATCAATTTTTCTTTTCTATACCCTGAACAGGGTACAGCGTCGGACAAAACATTTGCAACTAGAGCGAAGCCCACGATTTTTTGTCCTTTACAATGCCATTTTTCCTTCGAATTGCTTTTTGCTTCTTGTTTCTAAATTTACATCATTGAAGTTATATATTATGAAATGCTTGTTGTTGTTGTTCCTTTTCTTTTGGCGATTATATTTGAAAACAATTTAAAATGTATATTAATCCACCGCGACAAAACAATTCAACTCTCTTTGCTTAGTTGTATAACTGTAAAAAATACTCAAACTTCGTTTCATTTTCAAACTAAATTGAGTTTGTATTGATTGAAACATTTAGTGAGCATACTTTTATTAATCCAACTGACTAGCTTAGCTTAGAATTTAATATCTTATATGCGTATGTAGGTAACGGTGATCAACGCGCATCAGGTAATGCTGCTCTCCATATGTAATGCATTATTATGATAGCTTGATTAATGTATTTAAGAAAGATAGCAGTAGTGTAACTCTTAGGATAACAATGTAAAGTAGAATGTAGGATAACGTAACCCTTAGTTGTACTAATAAAAATGAACTTAATATTAACCTGTGCATGAATTAAATAAATTTAAAGATATGTTTAATGTTGGTGTCGCCACATATCTCCCCTGCAGGAAGAATATTAGAAAATGATAGCATGATTTTGTGTTTAATGAAGAAATTTTGAAGCGCACTCTTTTTTGACTTCTATGTACTTGTATTGTAGTAGAAGGATCAGGATTGGTGTCGTTGGTAGCTGTGTTGCATCCAGACGGTGGGTGTTTGATGTCGTCACTACATAAGCTGGTTTTAGCCGATCGATGGATATGTGTGCAGGTTTTCCATATAGTAGCACTTTATAGTATTTTTTATATCGCCTATCTCAATGACTGAGAAAGGGCAGTCGTATGGTGATGAAAATGATGGTTTGACTTTGTCGTTTCGAATAAAAACGTGTGTTGAATTTGCAAAGATCTTTGAATTTGAAATGCGTAGGCGTTAGAATTTGAAATGCTTTTCTTAGCGTTTTAAGGAGTTTAGGTGCTTCAATACTTTTATTTGACAGTGTTAAAAACTTACCCGGGAGTCGGCCCGCAAAAAACTATTTATTAATAAATACACACGCCCGGGGTAACATTCCATTGTGGTATCTAATACTCCATTGATATCGATATGTACAATAAG